GTATAATTCCCTTTTATTAATAGGCTTGTCTGGATAATCGTGCTTAAGCAATGGATAGATAGATGCTGAGTCCATTCGATCTTGAATGACATACTTCTCTACATCACACAGCATTTTATCTGTCAACTTTTGAAACTGTGGAGCTATTTCACCTATTACTGAACTAAATAGATGGTTATATTCATTTACAAATGAATTAATTTTTACAACATCACTTGTCTTCAGGTAAGTTACATTAAGCCTCCATTAACATTGTGTCCATTGTGAATGGGTATTACGCCTCTTGGTTGGATCAGATGTAATTTGTGAAATATTTGTGCCAGACCTAGTGCATTCGTAAGTAACTCTTCTCAACACTCTCTTATCTGATTTACTGGTTCTAATCTTATAATTGAAACCAGTTTCTAATGTGAACCTATATATTTAGGCCTTGAATTCATCCCAGTTAGGGAAGAGAAGTCCACGTATTATTCCAAGGAATTGGATAAATCAGTTGATATATCTAACTTGTTGTCAAATGAAGCATCTGTTGGTAGCATACTAGATTCCAATAACTGTTATAGCAAGTTGACAATTTAAATGAAATAAGTATGTAAGTATATAAATAAAAACAAGAATTCTTACATGAGCTTCTGATAAAGCTAAAGCTAATGAAGCTGAAGTCGCTGAAGCTAAAGCCACTGAAGCTGAAGCCGATGAAGCTAAGACTAATGAAGCTGAAGCCAATGAAGTTGATTCACTATCAGCTAAGATATAATCATTCTGTCAAGGTAATAAATAATTCTTTAATATAATAACTACTTTTAATTAAATAACATTAGAATGAAGAAATAGTGGAATAATCACGTTGTTTTCTAAAAACAAATCAAAGGTAACTTGTTCATTTTCAAATAAAGCTGCATCAGTCCTTGCCATATTCGATTTGTAAAGCTGTTATAGTAAAAAAAATAGTCTTTAATTAGATGATTACATTAATTATAGAAACACAAGAATATAGCCAGAGTGTTATGCAAACTTTTGATGAAGTCGAAATAGTTTTATTTTGATTATTAATAGGGTCGAACTTAATAAAAAGATCAGGGTTAAAGAAAAAATCAGGTTCATTTATGTCAGGTTCGTTCATATCAGGTTCATTTATTGTGAAAAGCTTTTGATCGAATTTGAAAGATCGAAAGAAAAGTAAGTAAAAGACGAATATTATATTTATATACCAATCGTACGTCATATTCTATGTATGTCATGTTTGTTGATACCCATGTTTATGCACTATGAATAAATTAATAAATTTATGTTTGTTGATACCTGTGTTCATACACTATGAATAAATTAATAAATTTATGTTTGTTGATACCCGTGTGCATACACTACAGGTACATCAGCAAAAATAAATAGGCGTAAACCTCCGCAAGTTTTTACGCGAGCGTAAACTTACGAAAATTTACGATTA